ATGAGGTTTAAGCAAAGAAAAGATGAAAAGCATTCTGATAAATAGAGAATTCCGCTTAGCGTGGCAAATTTCAAAAGGCAAGTTTATCGGTTGGGTCGGTTCGCTTTTTGCTCCGCTAAATTTATTTTCAATTTCTTCGGTTAAATTCAACCGGAAAACTATGGGAAACCCGAGCTTATTTTTCAGAGATGAATATTGCTTCTTCAGTTTTTTTTTAATTTTTTAATAAAATTCGTTTGTTGGATCGATAGTATTCTCGATCTTATTTAGTTTCTTTTTTGGTCATTTCTTATTACGATTTATTAAATTTGGTTAAACATTATACAGGGTGAGTCTTAAATAAATGCAAATATTTTCTGGGCTGGCAGATCTCTATAAAAGAAATATATTTTCTCTATACCGTTTTTCAAATAAGTCCAAAATAATCGAGATATTTTGCTTTGATATTTCCAAAAAAAAAATATTTTTCTCTTAAATTTTAGGAACCGTTGGATCTTATCTGAGTTTTCTTTCTTGTAAATTTAATCTACTACCTATGTTGCCGTATTATGAAGATATTATGTTTTTTTAATAAACATTAAAAAAATCCCAAGATTTTTCTAAAAATTCCAAATTTTCAAAAATGTTTTCACAAAAAGAACTTCACCGTGTATATCCAATACCACCTAGATCTCTTGTCTAGGTGGTATTGGTATATCTGGGATCGAAATATGCTACCCCTAAAAATATTTCTACTTATTTAAGACTCACCCTGTAGTATAACCCCAGAAACACGATTATAAGGTTTTTTTCACAAAAAAAAATAATTTAAATTTTATTAATTTTTTTTAGTTTTTAATTAGAAACCATAATTTCTTGTTAATATGGCAATATAGCTAGTAGATTAAATTTACAAGAAAAAAAACAGAAAAGATCACTAGTTCTCAAAATTTAAACAAAAAGTCATTTTTTTAATTTTCAAAGTAAAACAACTCGGTTATTTTGGATTTTTTTTTAACATTTGGACATTTTGGATTTGAAAAACGGTAAAGAGAAAATATGCTCCTTTTATCGAGATCTAACAGACCTAAAAATATTTTCACTTATTTAAGACTCATATTTTAATATCCACATTATAAGACATTTAAACAAATAAATGACAAAATGAGTTTTCTGTCCACAATTTGAAAAACTAAAAAGTTTTTCAAAAAAAGTTTTTCAAAACACCTTAAAAATCACAATATGTCTCAAATGAAAGCTGTAAGAGCTGTAGTAGTGCTATGAAGTGCTATAACTTAATCAAGAAGCATTTTAGGGCATATGAAGACTTGAAGTAAATAATGTTCTAAGTGCCAAAAAAAATCTGATTTATGTCATATACTAACATACCAAATCTCGCTTTTTTATCTGAAAAAATAAAAAAAATATAGGGGGTGAGCCACTTTTGAGACGCACCCGGTATAGGTAATATCAATTTTAAGTAGTGTTGTTTCATTCAATAGAAACTATTTTTAACAGAAAATATACAAAAGTATATATTTATAATTTAATAAAGCATTGGGCACATTTTAAATTCCATAAAATATTAATCTATTTTTATCGGAACCGAACAAAATGCATAACTTATATTATCATATTTACAGAATACCTTTTGTATTGTCGCTTTTAATAAATATATTGAAAACGTAGTTTGCATATTTCAAAATATTTCATATTGTAGCATTCTATTTGACAATTTTATCACGTAATAATATACGTAACAACAGGAATACAAAGCAAATATTCGTTATTAAACATTTTACAGTTTTACAGCAGATCGATAAAATGTGAAGAGAAAACGTTTAATAGGCATTAAGAGTTCATTTCACTAGTTCGAAAAAATAGCAAATTAAGCGTTCGGCAATTAACGTAGGCAAATTAAGCGTTCGGCTAGGTATTTTTAAACAAATGAACAAGGAAATTAAAGATAAAGGATTATACTATATCCTCATTGTAGCACATTTTAAAACAACTTCTTTATTTTTAAGATTTTGATGGTCAAACATCAACAAAATATTCCTTATGTTTGAACCAAATTTTCTCGAAAAGAAAGCCAAAATTTAAAATTCCGTTTCAATACGGGAATAGATTGAAGTTTTGTGATTACAGTGATATATAATTTATATGGTTTTGTAAGAAATTACTCGCTATTTTATGGCAAATGCTGAAGCTCTGCAAACCTTAATCAAGCCTTAATCAAAGCACGTGTGTTTGGAATTTTGGATGTGGCTTAACACGACAGGATCGGGCTAAGGCTTAGGCAGATTTCTGAAATATAATATATATTTCCTTCGGCCACACACCCGCTTTACCCGACCCCGACTCTTAAAGAACCAACACAATTTTACTCAAACGAAAAAAAAGTCAGATGCACATCAATGGTGAATCTGCAATGTCGACGCTTCTTTAGCATTACGGTACGTAAAGCTTTGAATAAAAAGATTAAGGAAGGAATATAATGCCATCCAAGTTTTTTTTGTGGCAGAACTTAAATTAACAGTGACACTATTGCAATTTATCGAAAAAGACTGTAAAATAAACTACTCAAAACAATTATCGCATATTTTCTAAAAAATATTAATTTGAAAAACAAGACATTAAATTTCCTGACGATTTTAAATACACACACCGGAAAAGTCTAGGGATATTACAATTTTATTCAGCCATCGTCAGTAATTTTATTATTTGCATTTCTGATATAATAAAATTAAAATAAACAAATAGTTTACAGGACGTATTGGAAATAAAAATGCGAATTTTACCGAATTTTTCAAATTTACCTTGATTTTTATTGAACTCAAAAAAATACACACATTTTTTTAAATTCTAAACTGTGAATTAAAAAAAAAGATAAAACCATTTTTACTTAATAAAGAGTATGGCCTCCTCTACTGTTCATTACAGCCCTATATCGTCTCTCAATGCTCCTGACCACGTTGTCGATCTCTTCTTGAGGTACAGCCTGTCACGCTGCATTCACGGCCCGAACCAGATCCCTACGAGTTTCACGAGGTATGCCCATTCTCAATATTCTTCTTTGGACCGCGTCCCATACGTGCTCGATGGGGTTGAGGTCAGGAGATTGTGCCAGCCAGGGTAAGATGTTTAATTCATGAGCATTGATAAACTCACTTACCACTCTGGCTGTATGAGGCCGTGCATTGTCATGCATGAGAATGAAGTTTCTCCCAAAATCATTGGAATATGGTAACACGACAGGCTCAAGAATTAAATCACGATATGTGATTCCTGTTAGAAACCTTTCAAGAAAAACGAGATCGGTTTTTCGGCTTAACTGGACTCCTCCCCAGGCCATAACTGTTCCACCTTGATAAGGGTGCACTTCCTGAACATGATCCAACCGAATAAGATTTCCCGGTTCTCTCCATACCCTAAGCCTTCTCGAATCCGGATGAATTCCAAATCGTGACTCATCCGTGAAGAGAACATTGGCCCATTGTTCACTCGACCACTGAACATAATCTTGAGCCCACAAATATCGTACCTCTCGATTTCCTCTCGTTAAGGGTTGAGCTCTCCAGGGGCGTCTGCTTCTTAAGTTGACCTCTCTTAATCTATTGCGAACAGTGTCAGGACTAACGGTTACATTATGTGTTTCCTGGAGAATTATACTAAGCTCTGGTGCTGTAAGAGTCGGTCGGCGTCGAGCATTTAATTGTAAAAAATGATCTTGCTGAGGGGTAGTAATGCGATGTCGCCCTGTGTGCCTTTCAGCAACATCACCACTTTCACGGTAGCGTGCACTTAATCGCGATATTACACTTTGCGTTAAATTTAATGCTCTAGCTTCGTCGATTTGGCGCATTCCAGCTTCGAGCATACCCATGGCCCTTAGCATTTCGTCTCTGTTAAGATGTCTACGCTCCATAATGTCGTTTAATACTAAACAGAGTTATTTGAATGAATTCTGGCTAGTTATCATAAAAACATAGCCAGTACAGGTTAAATTCGAACAATTGATGCTAGGTGCTTTTTATACATTTGAAAAAATGCACAAACACTTCTGCAAATATCGCAAATTTAGAAATAACTAGTGTGACTACTTCGTTTCAATCAAAGTAGAAAGAATCGGCCTACAAATATGTGGTTGTTTATTCAAAACACTTATTTTTAACTTTAATAAAATGATATCCCTAGATTTTTCCGGTGTGTGTAGTAGGTATGGATACTGTGAAGGAAAATTCGATACGATGAGCCTGCGCGCTGACCTGTAATTTTTAGTCGGCCGACCATTTGGTTGCAATAGTGAAAACAATACATTCAAATCATACATAATCTTATATACAACGGACTGTATTTTATTTTTAAAATTAAAAGAAAATAATAATAAATTTGAATAAATAATATTTGGCGAGATAATTCCGGAACAAGCCTAACCGCTCCAAAATTATTATCAAAGGCTTTGGGTCACGACCGTTGCCCCTGCGCCACGACCTAGCGCCAAATAGTATTTACATTTTTTTATGGGCATTTTCCAATCTAAACTTACGAATAAAAAGCCAATGGTTTAATTTATCTATCGGTGCAGGCGCTTGGAAGGAAATTGTAATAAATAAAAAAATTAAGATTAAATAATAATTAAATAAAGACAAAAGAGTCAGCAGATAATCTAAAAGCAGACCAGAAAGTAATGGAAAGAGTCCATGCTTGGAATCACCAAAAGAAATATAATTCCCAATAGGACAAGGAACTAACGTCAAAATTATAGTTGAGCACATATCAAACCACAGGCGGACAAAAAGAATATTGGAGTGGGGACAGAAAAACAAGCGTAGAGATAAACCACGTACGCGCCGAAGCGATAATTTAATAAAAATTGCTGGGAATTGAATAATGACGGCAAGGAAAGAAAACATGGAGGAACTTAGAGGAGGCCTAAGGCCATCAGTGGACAGTGACTGATGTGCGATGATAATAATAGTATAACTAGCAAGTGTTTTAGTAGATATTAAGTAACTTACCCTTTGCAGGATTGAACGGTATCGCGCTTCTATACAACGCCTCCTCATCAGCCCAGTCTCCATTCCTCCAAATCGTCTTGCCACCGAACGCCAGCAGTACCAGCACGAGCCCGGCACTAAACATTACCCGGAACCGACGACGCTTAAGCATTTCAGCACAAACAAATCCGATCAAGAGACAGAAACCCGCACTAGGTACGTAGAGTACCCTTTCGGCCACGACAAAGCCCACGTAGAAAAAGAGATTGGTGGCGGGGAGGAATGGTATGGTCATCAGAGCTATGGAGAAAAGAATTACACCGGAAGGAGTAGCTTTTCGATGAGTGGCGGAGTTGTTACAGGTGCAGGTTAGAATTGCGTTGTTGTTGTTATTGTTTGATCGGCAGATACGGGAGTGGCTGTCTGATGTTTTTCTGCAGCAGACAAAACATCCTGTGAACATAAAGAAAAATACGCTGTTAGAAATAAAGCTGATATACAAAACAGAAAATTTTTTTAATACAGTCTAGGTTTACTTATTTCACTGAGATTTATAAAAAAAGTACTTTGCCTCGTGTATAGATACCGACACGTTTGGAGACAGTTCGAAACGAAATTGAACAAAACCACAGGAAATACGCTATTTAGATTTCTACGCTATTTTACGAGTAGTTTTGAGGCGCTTTTAAGAAACCAAAGTTGGTCAAGACAAACCGAAATAAGTCAAGACAACCGGAGGTAAGCCGAAACGCGACAAAGGTAGGCGACGAAACGCGACCTTGACCTCCTTCGTTCTATTCTCCGAGTAGTGTAGAGTGTGTATTATTGTATTAAGATCGATATTATTATCTAGAATGGTTTTTATTAGCGTGACGATAAGGTTTAAATTCTAAACAATAAACATATAAAACTTTGCGAACTAAAGATACTGGCCTAACATGTATTCACATTGGGTTTACAAATGAATACTTGAAGTAAATAATCTTCTGAGTGCCAAATAATCGATTTGTCATATTTTATTTGTAAAATATTCTAAGTTCCATAACCAACAACATATATAACATACCGGGTGGTGCATCGTCGTTGGAAACATACTAAATCCCATGCAAATTTTGAACTATCCAAATATTGGCTACCCTATTGACTTTAAATCAAAGTCTTAAATAGATTTTCTAAAAGTCTACGTTTGGTAAACACACATGCCAAATTTGAACAATTTTGGAGAAGCCGATTTTGGTAATATGAGGAAAACTGCGTCTATTTTTAAATCAAAACAGAACAGGTAACAATCAAACACCAGTTTAAATCTGACATACGTTCAGTTGTCAACATCATTTTCAAACGCTTTATTTTAATTAAATCACAACTTAATTTTAATAAAATTTTAATTATCAGTACTAAGAATAATTTATTATTATACCCATAACGAAAAAGTAAGCATGATAAAATGGTACTGCGTGGGAAATAGCTTAGACAATGTATCTGACAGGTTTCAGCTAATTTCCCCTTAATAATAAAATTAAATTACTTATGCCAATGACAAAATCATAGTCTGCAAACCTAAGGTACGTCGGCTTTTGAGTGGTGTTTGATTGTTACCTGTTCTGTTTTGATATAAAAATAGATGCAATCTTTCTTAAATTACTCAAAATCGACTAGTCCAAAATTGTTCAAATTTTACATGTATAGGTATTACCGAGGGTATTACTATACATAAATCTTTAAAAAAATATTTACGACTTTGCTTTAAAATCAATAGGGGAACCAATATTTGAAGAGTTCCAAATTTGCATGGAATTTCCTATGTTTCCAACGATGATGCACCACCCGGTATATTAAATTATATTGAAAAAAAATCGCAACAGAGACACTGGTCTTCTTATACAATGATTATATAACAAAAAATGTTATTTATCTCGAAATAATGATTTTGGCACTTAGAAGATGTATGTAGAAGTGGTATGTACCTCAAGTCTTCAAATATTCTATATTTACCTGTATTTGCTGAAAATCTCTTCTGCTTTTTGGCGTTGTCGTCCTCTTTCAGTTTTTGTACACTCATCACACATTTACACACTATACAAGTTAGGATACAGTAAAACACACCGGTGCACAAAACCCTCGGATCCCGTACGCTTTTTACTCTCGGTATGGCCTCCATGCCCCAGTCGAAGCTCAACTCGTCTGGAAAGATCAATAGCCAGAAATTGAAGACGGTCAAATAGGAAAACGTGAAAGCCCTGTTGAAGAAGCTCTGGTCCTTAGCTGTTGGATTATCAGCGGTGGAAAAATGTGGAGCACGCGTCTGTAATCTGGCTATCAGGATAAATACCAATGAGACGAATAGGACGACTAAACTCCTATGCTGCTTCTGAAACAAGAAAGAAATATTTATGTTAACAATGTATAGGCTTGGTGCATTCTCCGCCGGTGCTGTCACCATCGGAGAACATCGTAAAAAACTAGCATATAAAAATACACGGGTTTATATAGGCAGTATACGAAAAGATTATTATTAAATTATTCCAAAAGTGTTCTAAAGTATAATTTGTTAAAATTCTAAAAATAAAAATAAAAAAGTAAATATTTTGATACCTACAGAAGGTCTAACTTGTATTATAATTTATTATTTCAGTTAAAAAAATTAGATAAGTTCAACTACGGTAGCGAGCATAGATTTAATCACCGGTTTTGCTAGTAGGGCAAAATTGGGGCTATTTCGGCCCCGGTATTGTACAAGCACTTGGTAATACTGGAATTTTTTTGGTACTAATTTGGTATTTTGGGTACTAATTTGGTATTATTCGGTAACAAAACTGGTATTATTTGGTAATAAACTGATTTTATTTGGTATTAAACTGGTATTAAACAGGTAGTTTGTTGGACATCTGGCAACGCTGGATTAGACGCACGTGGCGACGACGGCCGGGAAGCTGATTGCATCATTTCTAGCCCATTTGCATCTAAAGCTAATACTGAAAAATATCTATATTTCTAGCCCCAAGTACATCTAAAGCTAATACTGAAAAATATCTGGAATCTAAAGGTGCTTTGACAAAATCGTTTAGCTGGAAGTCTTTCAGAAGATACCACTCTACATGTTTTGGAAACTGATTATACCCAAGAAAATAATTTAGTTTCTAAAATACTAAAGCAATGCTTAAAGTCAAAAATTGGTGATGGACTCTGGAGCACTCTAAACTGCAATAGTCTGTTTAATAACATTATTTTTAGCACATCAATTTTACTTCCAAATTCTACTGCAAACTTCGAGGCAAACTCGATTTCGGGATCGACTTTAATATGCTTTACCTGCTTTTGTAAAAAGCCAAGTAACTTTACAAATAAAATTTAAAAAAACCACTTCAAAAAAAATCCTTCTACAAAAATTACAAAAACAAGAGTTACAAAGGCATGCTGGGTAAGCTCAAATTTTCAAACACACTTGATAAAGCATTTTGATATAACAAATAAATTATTTATACCAAAAATTAGTAATAATCGCAGTGTTAAATCCGAGGTTAAATCAGAGGTAAGCAATAATGCTTCAAATACCTCTGAGGCACAACCAAAAATAACTTCATTTCTAAAAAAGCCTTCTATCGAGCCTTCTACGGAAAATACCGAGGAAAATTACCGAGGCATACAAACCGTCATGTAGCAAAATTGTACCCCCTAATCTAATATGTGAAGCTCCCCGTAATCAAAGAAATCCTAATGTAAAAATACTAGACTGCGTAATTATCCCCCCAACTAAACGAGCCTCGGAACTACCCTTATCAGCCGCCACTTTAGCCATACCATCCACAAGCAATAATAATTATCTCCCCGATGTTACCCCTTTACTACCATTATCAGCTGCCTCTTCAACCTTACCGTCAACAAGCAATAATTCAATTTGGAAGTCTACAAAATACAGCCGCTCGCAAAGGAATAAAAGAAAAATTGAAAAGTTTCAGTACAATCAACCTCTTATAACCAACTTTATTTCGATATTAGAGAAAATAAATTCTACTCTTAAGGAAAATGGAGAAATATCGAAAGGTCTTAAGGAAACGATGATGGTTTGTCTAAATGAACCCGAGAATGAACCTAATGAGAATAAGCCAGAATCGAGGTCAGAATCAATGCCAGCAAACAAATTTTTAAACATGTTACTTAAGACAGACTTTGGTACTAATTTGTTTTTTTTTTGTTTTTTTGGTATTTTTGGTACTTTTTCCCCAAAATTGGTATTTATTGTACAACATTTTTGGCAGCGGTTTGTCCCTCGAAACAAGTATACCATTCTTCATCAGAAAGATGACAAGAAAGAAGATTCATTCAGAACCTCGCAATTAGTGGAATAATTAGTGGTTTCAATTAGCGTAGAAGTTCGGTCACCTATTTTTAATGTAAGCATTCAGAACGTCATAATTAGTGGTAGTAATTTTCAATTAGTCGAAAAAGTTAACAAACTTTTGACTTTCCACTAATTATACTACAAAATTTGCGAGGAATGTCATTTTGGCATTTCATTATCATCCGCCAAGAAAAAATTTGGTTAGAAATCAAAACTTTCATGTTTTATAAGCTAAATATTATACTTTCTCTATGGATACAACAGACTACCGCAAGCTGTTGCTAGGATATTTTATTAATTTTAATTGTGTTTTTTAGACATTGTGAATGATCGTATACTAAAAAGTATAAAGTGTAAAGCTTGATTTTCATGCATCCATTATACGTTGGTAAGTTGGTCCGAAGGTGCTTTGTGTGTTTTCGCGCCACTTTTCATCCGTAAATATTTTACTTCAGCCCGTCAACGGACCCGTTCATACGATAACGGACGTTTTGGCACTTTTTTGACAAATTTAATCTAACAATAATAAAAATATAAGTAAAATAGCAAAATCGTTATGGAAACGAAAATATAAAATCCGATAAACGGAGGCATGAAAATGCAATAAATTTAAAAACTGCGTTATTTTCTAACCAGTCAAAATCTTTAAATTCTACCAATAAAATTAATATCGTATCAACGTATCGTCGGACAACGGATGCACGAAAATCAAGCTTAATTGTGCCACGAAATCGTCAATAAGAAATAAGAAGATGCGCAATCATATTTATTTAATCAACGCAAATACAGTAAGTTTTTGAGGAAAGTTTAGGTGAGGGTTAATAACTTATAAAATACTTTATTTTAAGAAGTAAATAAATAAGCGAAATTTGTGTTAGTTGGAATTTGGGAGTGCTTTAATTAAAATAAAGCTTTCGAAAATCGTTTGGCTCAAACAAGCTGCGCATCGCTCGAGAAAATCGCCGGATATTTAAAGTGGAATTTTATTGTTTGCTCCAAGTTAGATTGCCTTTTAGAAAATACAAACTGATTAGATTACATTTAGTAAAAGTCGAATTGTTTAAATATTTGAATATCGGATTGAAGGCAGCAAATCTACTTTGGCAAAGCACTATTTTATTTATTTATATTATAATAAGACATACACTTTAGTACACCGTTTATATTTATATTTCATTACACAGGTTCGTCAGAGATCCAAAAAAACCCAATATATTTTTTTAAAAACATGCAGTGTTTCATAAACAATAGTAGTGAATACCTTAAATACCGTATGATCGAAGAAAACGTCGTCAAGGACGGTTGGGAATGACAATCAATAATAATTTTAGCAAGATCAATCTCTAGATGCCACCTACTAAAAATTAATCGCTCACTTTTTTTATTTCGCTAGTGAAAATATTTTTTAGTTTGTTGCTTTTTGATTATACATGTTCCTTCGTCCACTGAAGTTCACTATTTTTTACACCTTATGTTTTAGAGAAAGATTTAAGGTTGAATCTCACTATACCTTGCGTTTCCATTCCATATCCATTCCATATCCGTTCCGTATTTTTTATTGTATTGACGCTATACGTAAGGTTCCGTTCCGTATCAGTTCCATACTTTTTATTGTACAATTTATATCATTACTAAAGTTTGATTTTAAAAATTTGTATCTTTTGAAAAAGGTAATCGATTTAATTAAGAGGTGAAAGAATAAATAAATATCACCAATATGTTAACAGAGCTGGTACAAATATAAGAAATTGACAACGCTGTTTCCGATACGCTTAAAAACCATTTAAAATAAGAAAGTTGTTGTCAAAGTGTCGTCATATTGAAAATATTTTTAGTCGATAGATCTCGTTGTGAAACAGTGATGTGTAAAAAATCTCCGATCTAGATATTGTAGTTCTCTAGAAACTTCTAATGCACGCTCAGCCTGGGACACCCTGTATATTATGCTACTGAAGTTTAACTTATAACACAGATAACATATAATCAGATTATATGTTATCTGTGCTTATAATTAATAACAAAATTTAGAAGGAAGCTGAAAGAAACAGAAACTATTTTTTTTAAATTTAATAATAACTGACACTGGCAGTTTTTCCGGTTTACTTTTATTTTCTAGTATTTATATTTCTCCGTAGGATTTTTCAACTTCGAAACTGTTGGCTGGCCCGTCTAAAAATTGAATTGGAAAAAGCGGGCAAATTTTCTTGCGTAGTGTGCTGTGGAAATTGGGCGACCAAGATCGATTGTTTTTAATTAGTGTCGGCCGGGGTCGAATAGACATTGCTCAGTGGGTTTGTTAATTGTTTCGCCCCGATGGGGCTTTAAATTTGCTGCTAATAAATTACGGTCCCTGGAAAAACGACACGGCCCCGTCTATGGAAAGGAGGTCGTCTGCCTTCTAATTATTCTTGCAAGAAAATAAAGGCCCCGTTTCTCTTTTTGTTCCTCTAATTACGCTCGTTATAAAGATTGAAATGTTTAACTTGAAAAAGCATTCCTTCATCAAATAAAACATGAAGCCCAAATACGAATAATGAATGATGATTGTATTAAAGAAAACTTTCTTCTTGTTAAAATTATTGTTTATTCTAAATGCTATATAAAGGGTAGATAGCCTGATAGATATAGTTTATTTTTTTATATAAAGGGTTCTTGGCTTATGGTCAATATTAAACTTTTTCTGGGTTTAGGAAGTGTTTATTACATAACTAACGTTTCGGTTCAGTTTTAACCTTTTTCAAAGTCTACAATAAGATATTCAAAATTAGGAACGAATGACTTGACGAAGGAAATGTACAACGTTTTGTGGTAAGTTTGATTTATATTTTTTACACTGTAGTATTTTATTGATAATATCTTCCCAAGTAGCATTTGGAGGTTATCTAACGTCGGGTATACGTCGCGTTCAATAAACCCGACGTCGGGTACCAACGTCGGTTCGGCCGCCTTACGACCCTTATTTGCACCTAAATGGGGAATACAGATTCGGGTCGCCTCGACGTCGGTATCTGACCTAATAGGGAATGTAA